GGTCTCGGAGGAGACTTTCCCTGAAGGGAAGGGCGGAGGTATGTGTTTCACTCATATATCCGATTCTCCTGTATCGACTCTCTGTACTTCCACTCCCGTATGCCAGACTAATTTTATTAGTAAGGACTTTGTTCTCTTTCTTGTGGAGAGACAAGGCCCATATGGTATCTCGCGAGATCTGTTGCCTTCATCCCCCTGAGGGCGGTCTGGGTATGCCTAGCATTGAGATTCGTAAATATATGCTTCGCATTACCTTTCTAGACCGAATGTGTCGCGGTTCGGATGAGGTGGGCACCTTCTGGAAAGAAGACGTCCGAAAACATTTCCCATCCCTGAGAAGTGTGCACTCGTGCGAGGAGGAGGCCGGCCGTACACCTCGAGCCGAGTGCTCCTTCTACCGCGAATGTCGTCGTGCTTTGAAACTCCTCTTACGGACGTCGGATGGCCTCTCCGACGCCCAGGCGTTGTCTTGCAAGGCATTGTATCAAGTGTTAGTTAGGGAGGCCGTACAAGATGATCTAATTGGCGAGCTCGGTCTTACGAAGCAGGAGGCTCGCTCGATATGGCCTTGGGCGCCTGGGTTGAAATACCTCAATAACGATGAGGCATAACTCACCTAGCTGGTAATTCGTGAAGCCCTCTGGGTCGGCAAAAGACTTTGTTCAGCAGGCTTGGAGAAATATCCAAACTGTCGTCGCTGTACGGGGGAAGTCGAGACCATTGGTCACGCCTTCTTTCAGTGCAAGGCGGTAGTGCCGTTGTGCAGGTTTGTTGAAGGCCTCATGGTACGCATGCTGCAGGGAAAGTTTTTTGTCGTTGAAGCCAGTTCTGTTTGTAGCAATGTGGTGCCGCAGATGACGAAAGCTGAACACTATGTGTTCTGTTGCTTGCTAGGGGTTATGAGAGTCGTGATTTGGACGACGCGTCAGAAGGAATTCTATGAGGGCTAGAAGTTCACTTCTTCCCAACTGATCTTGTTCTTTAAGCATCAGCTTAAAGTCAAGATTAGGACGGAAAGGCGGCGGCTCACCTCATCAGAATTTGGCAAAAGGTGGGTGAATCATGTGCCGAATAAAAGGGGTTGACCTGGAGTGGCATTTGGATGCCGGTTAGGCATTAGGATATTGTTTTCCTGGGTTCAACATAGGCAACCCATCCCGAAATTAGGTTAGCATAGGTCGTGGTTTTTGAGTTTTAGTTTTTCTTCTTTTCAGTAAACTTAGCTAGAGTGTATTTGCTCATTGGTCCCTTTTATTTCTGTCCCCATTTTTTTCCCTTTAGTTTAACTCCCCATCCCCTCCCTCGTTTAGGTGGTCAGTGATGTCAGTTTCTCTGGTAGATGCGGGGCGCCTTTCGTTTCGTGTGTGTGTCTTCGTATTTGTTGTTGTGTGTGTGCCTGTGTGAATGCTTGGGAGGAATGAATGGGTCCTTTATTTTCATAGTCCCGCATCGATTTCGTCCGGTTAACTGATATTTCTGCCACATTTAAAGTTTGGGGGGGTTAGTACTAACATTAATTTTGTTTAGTTTCTTGTAAATATATTTGTCATATTGTATATACTCATTGGTGATCTTTTTAAAAATAGTTGCCCCCCCCCCCGCCGACAATATTTGTACATAAGGGGAATATTTAAGATTTTCATTGAGTCAAAGAGGCATTTTGGTGAATGTAGTAAGAAAGGTATGGATAAATGTGTTGTTTTGGTGAAAGGAATATTGTTTTGTATGATAGGGTCAGTGGTTGTGGCTAGCTAAGTTTTATACTAAGACAAGTGATGACCATCCTTTACTCCACCCCCTTTTGGCCTTGTGCCACATTTGTTGTATTATCACAACAATAAATATTGTCAGATCTACATTCCTAGAGAGATACCAGACTGAACCACGCAAGTCAAAACTCTGACCAACCAGGATTTTGCCGCGCAAAATATCTGACTCAACAATCCACAAACACAATCTCTCTCAAGAACATCACTTACAATACTTTGAAAAGTGACATTTTCTTCTCACTACTTAATAAGTAAACAAACAATCAAATTCTCACACAACTAAAGGTACGAAACTCCTGCCAATTATACAAACATACTTACGCACACATACTAATAACTGAACTAGCACAAAGGACAATTTAGTACGTAACTGGACACTTAGTTTAATTCTGTGAACAAATCTGAATAGCAATTGCAAACACCTTCAAACATTCACAATAATATTCTACACAGCCAAATACACCTATTTTCATTTGTCCATTTAAGTTCAAATCAATTTTATTCTCAACATTGTATATTTGTACATAAATGCATTTTGTTCTATTGAAATCTGATAATCGGTGTTCTTTACTCACTTGCCTGTTGATTGATTCGTTTTTTTATGAATGTCTCTCTATATTGTTGCGGATAAATATTTTGAACATGCTCGTAAACTAACCATCTAAAAATAAAAACCTTCTGATACCAAATACAAACCCATAGCAATCCCAACACTATGATAAGTAATACTGAAAGAAAAGAGTGTTTTTAAAAGATTATTTTTTGTTGACCGTGTTCTGTAATTCTAAATTTTCAATCACATTCCTTACTAACTTCACCATATGATTTGAAATTTTTAACATCGGCAAGCGTTCAGGTTTTGAGATTGTTATGGTGTGATTAGTAGTTGGGTTGATCAAATTAAATGCGGCTGCGTGTTTCAAGATAATCAACATCCATACATTAAATTTTAAACATCAAGGAAAAAAATCAAGCTCAGTGAACATTAATAAAATATTGTATTAACAATGATATACAAATATCAACAATAGTATAAAGAAAGTTGTTCCCCTTTTTCCGTGATAAAAAAGGGTAAGTTTAGCTAATAAATTTTGAGTACAAAATTGAATGTAATTTAACTACAAGGTTCAATTGAAGTCTTAGCTAAATACAGAATAGTTCCACAGTGTTTTATCAGTGTAGAAAGATGTAATGTTCCTGAGTGATATCAACAGGGATTAGTTATTTACTCGAATGAGTAATAATTAAGAATTAAAATGTCAATATAGCGCCGTGCCGTATTTTCCAAGAATTGAACTGCAACTGGTCTTTTGGTTGATGGCGAAATTCTTTTATATCGATCGGTAGGCTCCGGATAGCTTAGCGCCAGAAATATAGAAAAGATACTAAAATACGCGATTGGTCAGGAAATGGACCAATCCGTGATTTTAGAGAAAAATTCGAATTACTTGCGATGGTTAAATTGTCCTATAATAAATAACATGTATTTATTAACCAATGAGAATTCGAGAAAATGTAGGCGTGGCACTACAAGATCATATCAGACATTTTTGTTGTCTATTCATAGCAACACTATGTTCTTTCTTATTTTATTTGTTTCACTATACTTTTGATCGACGAATCAAAAATATAGATTCGATCACTACCTGGCTCATTTTCATCAATCATTCTGATCCTCAAGTAGAAACCTCCAATAAGTTGCTTATAGGCAGGCGCATTATATACCTGTAATTGTAAGTGTTTGTTCCTTTCAGGATGTCTTTTGCAATCAGGGTGGTTTTTCTCTTCGCTATACATTCGAGGTTCCATCATGCGTTTATTAACGTAACTGTTGTGCTAGACTCTCATGTATAGCTATAAATCTCTTGAAACACAAATCGGGCTTCTTAAGAAAAACACAAATTTCCTATAAAAATTTCTATTTTCTTATGCATCGGGGTGGATAAAATTATTCTTATATTACAATTAAAAAATAACTCCAATGAGATTATGAAATATATTTACAATAAAATTATAATATAATGGAATAGTCAGTAAACTGATTGAATAAATGTGGAAAAAAATGACGTGATATTGAGTGTGACTGGATTTGCCTTGGATTTAAAAAAATTTGTTTGTTTCCTGTCAATCACGAAGACAGACGTAATTCGTTATTCGATGCTCCTTAACTCCCGAAAATTGATAATTGCTTCACTCACATGCATGTTGAGGTGGGTGTTCTACTAACAAGTTTGTGCTACATTACTGGGAAAGTAGGGTAGTTTGTTCAAAACCCATTTTGTAGAGTTTTGAATAAGGAGGACCAGACCGATATTGTATAGATTTTTTTATGAGATATTACTTTTATAGTAAGTTCGCTCTTTACTGGGTGCCACACATATGAATGAAGCTAAACTTCGGTAGTACAGTTCGTATCGATTCTACGGTGGGTATTGGGACTTTGAGCACTCGTCGTCGGGGGAAGACGATTTGCCTTCTTTAAAAACAACGACACAATAATTTTGTATTTCATTTTTGAGACGAGGAATTGTTAATATATTTTAATTTATTCGAACTATTCTTCTCAGTTTGATTATGTAAGACGTTGTTAATCACTGGCCATTTTCAGGTGTCCATTATTTGACTTGTTAACATAATACCCTAGTTATGTCCCTTTAACCTCCACTCCCTATAGAAGGAGATAAAAAGGGATACTGTTATGGCGTATGTTGCATAAAGAACACATGTGGCACAAGCCTCTGATTTAAACGTCTATCCTGTGTCTGTCGTTATTCCCATTGATATAATGCATTCCTGAAAACAACTATACATGGTGTCAGGAGTGGGATTTTGAAAAGCGGAGGGACTACTGAACCCATTTTATTCGACGACAGACAAATTTTAAAAAAAACGGAGACATGGTAATGTAGAAATTTCCTACACGTATACCCTCGCCCGACATATTAACATCTGAACCATCTTATCACTCATTACTTAAGCTCGTTCATTACAGTATCATTATTTTTCTGCATATTTTTTACCTAAGTTTCGTTTGATTTGTTATGTACACTCACTTAAAATGTCCAACACAAAGTAGAAGTTGTCCAACACAAAGTAGAACCCATGAACCTTCAACAAGACAACAAACCGAAGTCGACCCAATGACCTTCATGTTGCAAATGCAGCAACAGCAACTCGCCAAGCAGGAACAGATGACATACCTCTTGGCACGTCACCTGCCCGCCTAACAAAATGCACCCACTCCGCGTAAAGCCCGAGCGCCTGGTGACAGAATCCGACACGTCGGATAATAAATGGATCATCTTTAGAGATGCATGGTCCCGTTACAAACAAATAATCCAGCTCACCGACCCAACAAAGACCCGAAACGAACTACGATCCGCCTGCAATTCGTCCGTCAATGAAATGCTTTTCAATTTCGTTGGTCCCAATGCCCTTAATAATGCCACAGAGGAACAACTGCCGGAATCGGTTGCCGTGAAATCCGTCCTCCCAGAATTGTAGCGTCAACATTTTTTCGCAATGAAGCAGAGCGATGGAGAAACCATCACGTCGTTGGTATCCAGATTGAAGTCACAAGCGATGATCTGTGCCTTCGAAAGACAATGTGGTTGTGATAGCCAGCACTGCATAACCTCATTCTCCGAGGACGTGATTAAATCCCAAAGCATTGTCGGCCTACGGGACACCTCCCACCAGAGCAAGATTTTGACTGAAATCCAGTCTTTGCCAACCCTGAATGACCTGATCGGACGCCTGTTAACACAGGAATCCACCGCCAGAGCAACAAACCATTTTCAACCAACAGAGGCACAACAAATCGCTTCTATCAAATCTGCATCATCACGAAAATCCCCACCAAAAAACAAAAACAAAACAAAACAAAACAAATAATGACAAATGCAAAGGTTGTGGTTATAAAACACACCCAAAAGGCCGCAGGCAATGCCCTGCTTGGGATAAATCATGCCACAAGTGTGGAACAGAAAACCACATATATATGCCGTGGCATAGCCTCACCTAATGCTGTAATGGAGGATAACCCTAACGACATCCAAGACGAAAATATTTCCCTCATATCAACCATGTGTACACGGTCTAGATATCTAAATGAAGGAGAAGGAATCCCACATGGTACCTGGACCAACAACCAATTCATCTCGGAAAGACCAGAACCACCACCGTTTATTAGCTTTAAAATTGCATTAAACACGGTTGCATTCAAGAAGTTAGGAAATTCAATTCAAACAGTCATAAAGCTTCAAACTATTCAGTTCATTGCTACGGCAGATACACCTGAATAACGTGAGGAGCTAGTGAAATGGATCAAGTGCCACTTTGCCAGCAGTGCATTCAACACATGTACCCACCATAAATTGCTGACCATGACCATCTCGTTTCTAGAAAACTACCGACCAACAGCCATACATAAACAAATTCCAATACTCCACCACTGGAAAGAAGCTGTCAAGTCACAGCTGGATGCCAATGTTGCTCTAAACATCATTGAATCAGTTTCTGCGAGAACACCAACAACATGGTGCTCCAGAATGATTACAGTTCTGTTAGGACGGATAAAAATATATTCAAAGGGAAATAACTCTTTTCTGTTTCAAACAGAGTACCTCCCTTTTGCCCCTGTCCAAACCACGCTAGTCACGTGATCAATGCGACATTGAGAGGCGAGACGCGCAAAATTCAAGAGACTGGGAACATGGCTATCAAGGAATAAGGACACATATATATTCTCCTGTCCTAATGGTTGTGACACACAACTCAGTAACTTGGGACTGTGATTTTGTATATACATATATATATGTTGTAAGGTTCTCCGTGTAAATAAATGGTTATTTCAAACCAACCGTGAGTAGCAATAATTTCACCTAGACTACCCTTTCCAATCAACGGTCACAGACATTTTCAACACGACTGGACGTAAATATATGGTATATGCTGACAGGTACTCGGGTTGGACGGAAGTAGCTTCGATGCACCAAAAAGCGAAAGCCTCTTCAATATGCAACAGGTACTTTATAAATTACGGTGTACCAGAGGAAATTGCTTGTTATGGTGGACCCCCATACAACTCAGATGAAGAGATTTTTAAGGACATGGGGTGTATCCCAACGTGTGTCCTCAGCTTATTATCCACAAAGCAATGACAGTGCCGAGGCAACTGTCAAACACATGAAACGGATACTCACAACAAACATTAGCCCCCAGCGGTTCACTAGATACAGATGAAGTGGCAAAAGCGCTCCTACTGCATCGCAACATCCCACCACCTGATTTAGGTGTCTCACCTGGAGAAATTCTGTTTGCTCGTCCTTTAAATGACCACCTGCCGAACCCCATAAAATTCTGCCATGCATGGTTGGAGCTTGCTGATATGCATGAGAGGGCCATCAACCAGCGATTCGTTAATAACACCAAACATACCAAGAGTAGGCTATTATACCCACTGAAGTTAGGGGAACATGTGTCTATTCATAACCAACATGGAAATAACCTTCTTCACCGGGATAATACTGGTACAGTCGTTGAAACCCTTCCTTACAGACAATACCGCGTATTAGTTGATGGCAGCACACGAATCACACTTCGAAACCGCCGCTCCCTCCGCAAAATAAATGCAGATACCCGCAACGTAGTCCATGACAACAACCTACCAGATATGGATAGAAACAACAGCATGGACGACCCACCGACCCCCACACTTCACCATTTCCAGATATTCCCATCCCGATACATCTGGAAAACCAAAACACTATAATGCAGGTATCACCAACACCACCCACCACAGCAAGAACATCGATAAAAAATGAACCCCTACAACACCAAACAATAATGAAAACAGTACAAAATAAGGGACTGGAGGTGAAGTCTAGACCCATTCGTAACAAACGATTGCCTTCCAGATTTAAAGATTTTCAGCTTGGATAAGCAGATCTTTTACACCATTTAAAAAAAGAAAAAACATGTTAACATAATATCCTAGTTATATCTGTTTAACCTCCACTCCCTAGAGAAGGAGGTAAAAAAGGACACTCTCATGGCGTATGTTGAATAAATAATACATGTGGCACAAGACACAATATGAGACCGTTTCGACATTGTGTTTATATAGGTAACTCCATGAGATCGCAAAAAAAAGAGCATAGCATGATGAAAAAGACACCAAACTTGACGAAAACAAAATTTTATCGTCTAAATGTTTATGTTATTATGAAGAGGAAAGACAAAAGTTTTTTAATTATTTAAAAAAAAATTTCCTACTTTTTAGAACATTCTAAATTTTGATTAAAAAAACCTTGTTTCTCTTTGTATCACCGGAACTATCAGGTCATCCCATAAGTTCTGTCCGAATTTTACCTTTTTTTAAAATGAACGAAATTTAAAGAGTATTTTATGATGTCTAATAGAGCTGAACATTATTTTTATGTTTAGATGCTAAATCAAATAAAATAAACTGATCAAATAAATCAAATAAATTAACTGATCAAATTTTATTTCAGAGAACAATAAAATTAAATTTTGTTTGCTAACATGGAAGTACCCAAGAATCATTTGAGGCACATAATGCTTTATGAGTTTGTTGTGGTAGGATCCACCTAATTTGCATAGTGGAGTACCGACCATATAAATATGGTTGGTACCGGGAAGAGAGGGGGAATCAAGAGATTCAACCAGAGACTCTGCCCGACTGCGACTCAGTCAACACATTCTCCAGGAACGGTCTTACCAGGAATATACAAAAGACTATATGTAAATATTGTGTACACTTTCTTGTTTCAATACATTTTGTTCTAAGTACATTTTGTGTTGCATTATTATTCCATGCATTAGTCAAGTTTCAACAATGGCGACGAGGTAGAAAGAACTATACGAAAAAAAAAAGAATTGATAATTGATAGCCTTCAACAATTGGGACAAGTCATTGAAGAACCCAGGTTGAAGGAAAAAAATTAGTTATTAAAAGTCCAACATCTAATGGAACGGCGAAGGATTCTGAATTTCTGGATATTTAGAACTCGTTAAAGGACGACTAAGCATAAAGGAACGTTCACTCAGAAAAATTTGAAAGGTGTCGTAAACGAATAACGGTGATTTAAAAAAAAAAAAAAAAAAAAACGGACCGACTACAAAAACATGCATGGAATTAAAAGGCGCACAAATACATCGTGTCGACTTTGAAAGGTAACGAACTTTAAAAAGAAAAAAAAAATTTTTTTGTTTTGGTTGCTCAACAATATTTTATAAAGCAAGACATAAAATAAAAAAGTCGTAAGTTGTTTCGATTTTTCTGGTCAGATTATATTATATCCGTGGATACACAAATTAAAAGTATATTCTTTGTTGCATGAACACTATTAGCAAAAGATGGATGAATTATCCAAAGTCATATCGGAATTATTCACATCCCACCATTGAGTCAGCAACATCAAAGTGAACAGTTTGCCTTATTAATAAGGGAACAACAGATAGCACAGCAAAAATATCAAGAAAAGCAAGAGGAAAGACTGGGAAAACAGGAAGAAATGCAGATCAAGGTTTTAGAAATTCAAAAGTTAACACTGGAGAAATTAAACAACAATCAGGCAAATGAAGGAAATTCTTCATATTCTAATAACATCATATTTAATTCGCTGGAAACTTTCAACTATGGGCCAGACGAAGAAAAAACGTTTGAAGCGTACTTTAAACGATATGAAGATATTTTCTACACAGACTGTGAAAACTGGTCGAATTCAAGAAAAGTCGGTCTATTACTAAGGAAGCTAGGTACAGCAGAACATAGCAAATTTGTAGATTTTATTCTACCAAGAAGGACGAATGAATTGGAATTCTCGGAAACAGTGAAATTGCTAAAGGAGTTGTTTGGAGCAAATATGTCGCTTTGGCATAAGCGATGGTTATGCATGAATATCGCTAAATCCGACGATCGGGATTACTTAACATATGCATCTATAGTGAATAGACATTGTGACAATTTCAGATTGGCAGAGATTACGGTTGAAGAATTCAAGGGTTTAATTTTTGCTCAAGGACTGGTATCCAGTAAGAGTGCCGAAATAAGACGTAGAGTTTTGGCTAAACTCGAATCTGAACAAAACCTTACCCTACAAAAGTTAGCAGAGGAGTGTCAGCGGGCCGTAAGTTTAAAGAAAGAGTCTCAAAAAATCGAAGAAGCTGGCTTTGCTTATATTAAAAAAATAAAAAAAACAGTCAAATTACCTATCAGCAAAAAATTGGAGTAAAAATTCAGCGTATTTTAAAAATAGACAAGAAAAATTAAATGAAAAGAACGAGGAGGAAAAAAAGGTTCCACCATATAATTGTAGACGTTGCAACGAAAGACACTGGGAGGTAAATTGCCCATATAGAAATAAGAAATATTTCGTGTGCCACAAGAATGGACACAAAGGATCGTGTTGTAAAACGAAAAAAGTCAATAGCCGAATTAGACAAACAAATTC